TTTCAATAAATAATTTTATATTAATGATATTTGAAACAGTTATAATAGAAAATAGTGAAATTGTTCAGGCATCTAATAAATATTATAACACTTTATGGTTTAGTGATATATCGATTAAAATGAACTCCAAAAAATTATATAACTATATGACAGATGATAGAATCTATTATAGAAAGGTAATTATAATTATTTAAAATATAAATTTTATTTTATTTTAAGACTAATATAATTTTTTAGGTTTTATTAATAATAAAGATAAGCAAAACAATTCGGAGATCTCTACTTTAACTAGTATTAGTATAATAGTATGATTTTAAATTGAAAAAATCATCATATATGTATAATTATGCATATCTTAAATCAACGGATATATATAATATAGTAGATATAAGAGCAATAAATAATTTAGTTCAAGATTTAATAAAAGTAATAAATATTTATCAAATAATTATTTATTTTAATATAATTATTATTACTTCGAAAATTTTTAAATTTTGTTAAAATAAAAATTTCCAGAGTTTATTATTTTAAAAAATTTTATATTAAAAATTTCTTAATGTTGTTATTATGAAATTTTCTAATATTTTTGTTAAATTAATTGATAACTTTTAATATATTTATTTAAATATTTGAATAACAAAAGAGCTTTTACAAATTATATAGTTTCTAATAATGCTAAAAATTTTTTTGTATTATCTGATTCTGCTATCCAGACAAATATTATTGATTAAAGAATTTTTAGAAAAGTGTAGTAAAAAATTGCTTCATTGGATAGTTCTGATTAATACTAGTTTGAATTTAGGTTTGATATATATAATTTCTATAGACCTTTGTTATATATATTGATTTATTCTTTGAGTTAATAAGGAAAAGTTAATTTTAACCATTTTTCTTGAATATTCAAATACTGGTTAAAGAATTTTTTTATTGTTTCTGATTTTAATAGTAAAGTGAACTGAAATTTTTTAATAATGTCAAAAATTATCAATAGAATATTATCTAGTAAAAAACTGAAATTGTGTGGTTTTATTTTGGCATTATTTATAAATAAATTATTTTTATAAGATTAAATATGATAATATTGTTGCAAATCAAGGTCTTGTAACAATATTTAAAAAAGATAATTGACAGAAATATTGATTTCTTAAAGAATATGTTTATTATTCTAACAATTTCATCAATTATATTAAGTAAATAATATTTGAATCTATTAGAGGAATTGAAAGAGATCCATAGTATAGAAGCAGATATACTTATAAATAATATTTAACAAAAGCCATAAAAAATATATATATTAATTGAATAACTTAAACATCTGGAGAGATTGTTGTCAGAGTTTATAATAAGATGTTTTCTTTTAAGTAGTGTTCTTCTATTTATAGAGATATATTTTTTGCAAGTTTTGACAATTGCATTGATATTGTGTAAGAATTAGAATATCATTTTAGAATTTGATATTGAATTATAGGTTCCAAACAGATTTTTAATATTTGCAAATATTTTAAACCAATTGGATTTTGGACCACATGTTCCAAACAGATTTTTGATATTTGCAAATATTTTAAACCAATTGGATTTTAAACTCAGATGAAATATTTTTATATGTATAGCAAGTTGTGATTAGAAAAGTTTGATAATATTGTTGTATTTCAATAGTTAGTTAATAAACTTTATGTTAAGAGTATTTGTTATATTAATTATTGTTTTTTTAAGTTGGAGTTATATATTAGTGAATAGAAAGCCATTCAAGTTTTTTGTATTATCAAAATAAAATAGATATTCTGTTAGACAAATTTAGATTTTAAGATTTTTGACTGATCTTGTGACATAAAAAATTTAAATTTTCTAATTAAATTTTTTTGGATTACAAATAAAACAGAATCAAATAGCTTCTTTTATTTGGATAAATCAGATATTTTGTGTTATGTATTTTTTAATAAAGGGGATGGAGAGTTTAAAAATAAGATTTCCTATTGATAAAACTCTTACCCATTCACTGCTGATTTTTTGAAAATTTTCTTTTTAGGAAATCCTTTCTTAAGAAATATTTTCCTCTTTTTATTCTTTAAGACAAATAAGCTTTAAATCCAAAGGACATAAAGACTTCAAGAAACATTGTTGCATTGGGATGGGACCTCTGGTTAAGACCTAAACAAGTTGGGAGTCTTCCTTAGCTTTTGGTTGCATGGAAAGGCCTGTAGCAGCCTTTATTTATAATTTTTTGTCTTTAGATACCTTTCTCTTTATGATCATGATAATCATCTTCCCTCTCACCTTTCATTTTTTATAACACAAACTCAATTCTAACAATACATTCAAACAAAGTTATTGGGTCTAATGTTTGTCTTAACACAATCTTTGAAAATTTATTATTTTTCTTCTCTATCTTAAAACAATATCACATATTACTTCTTTACTATTCTATAATTTTTTCAAATCTACTCAAAAACCATAATCAGTTTCATCCTATCCAAAGATCTACACTCAACAAATGATCAATAAAACATCTTTATTTCTTAACAACAATACCAAACCTGTTTAAACTCATTTATAATTAGTTTATTATTAAAAAATTCACACACCTAACAATATTTTCTTTATCAAAATACTCACACATTAATAATAACAATAACAACAATTACAATTGACTGACACATACTAGATTATAAGAACACATAACTGTGTCCTGCATGGGTTTCAGTAATCTTTAACTAAAAAAGTATCAAAATAATACAACAAGATTAAAGCAGGCTTCATACTCGACTTACTACTATCTCAACTATATCACCAATCTATAAACCACACAACTTTCCACAATTATTATTAATAATAAAGTTGCAACCCACAAGTAACAATACTATCATTAAAGAAAAAAGGCAGCCTAAGCCTAACCAATATGGATGAAAGTGGAAGTGAAATATCAGAAAGTTGTGCTTCATAATCTGGCAGCTTAAGCCAGTACTTCTTTACTGCTGCTGGAGTCACATTTAGCTATCAAAAAGAAAGCAGTAACCTAGATAGACATATTTGATTTGTACCTTGTGAAAGGGATTGTTAATATAAAAAATAATTGTATTCAAAACTCAATACTCACTATCACCACCTTAATAATTTTTATTCCTAATTCCTTAACTATATGCAGTTTTCAGGAAGTGATTAACCCTGACTTCAAATTAATATACATAGCAACTTTATGTCAAAAACTATCAACCTTCAACTTTCAATACTTCCATATTCCTTCACTTACACTATAGTGATCTTGCCCTTCAAATTTATATAAATAATTTATTTGTCCTTATATGTAAATAGTTTCTTTTTTAATTTTTTCCTTGTTCAAGAATTTTTTTATTAGAAATATGGATAATTATTTTCAAAGGTGGACCGGAAATTTTCTGGTATGATCCTAAAATTTATATTATATATGCATTGTTTAAAAGCTGGGTCCGAAAAAATCATATCTAGCATTTTTGTTGCCTTTAAAAATAATTACCCAAATATTCAAAAATTATATATAAATCTATTAGATTTTTTGATAAGTATATTGCAACTTGTAAACAATTTAACTATAATATAATATTTATATTATATTATTGTATTTTTATAAAAGATTAATAAATAATTTCAACTTGTAATCTGATTAGAAATAAATAAATATAAATATAAATATAAATATAATATATATCTAGTATAATAGGAATTATATTTATATATATAATAAAAATTTATAAATTCTTAATACAATTGATACAATATATTAAGTCACTACTAAAATATATAAATAATTGAGACATGGTGCAATTGTTTTTGAGAATTTTGAAAATCAAGTTAATAGTAAAATAATTTTTATTATATGTATAGTACATTTTAATTGATTTATAATTTCTAAATTTAATAATTAATACTGATTAAAGTTCTTTAAAATATCTGCTAAAAGATTTAGAAATTATATTTCAATTGGTTTTTTAATTTCTAGATTTGATAATTTGTATCAATCAAAAATTTATTTTAAAATATTTACTAGAAAATATATATTCTAGATTTTTATTTTTTTTTGTAATTATATAAGTCAAAAATATAATGTGAAAAATAATTTACAGTATAATATTAAATGTTTCTTTCAATTTTTTATTTATTTTGTTTTTCAAAAATGCATGGTCTAGCATGCTACTATCTTTATTTTAATTTTTTATATACCATGTGAATAGTTTAATATAGATAAATTAGTATTAAACTTATTTAGTATAAGAGATGTAATTTCTTTTTGTGTTTTCATTAATACTCAATAAAAAAAGAAAATAATTTGTTTATTAAAAAAATAAAATTTATTAATTTATTTAATTATTTATATTTGAATTTAAAAAATTTTTTTCCAAGCACCACATAATAATAGGTCATTATAACACTAATTGAAATCCATCATATATCACAGGTAATATAGTTGTGGAAAACAGTGAGTCTGTTGCTTGCTCACAGGTCTCGTCAGGGCACGTCACACAGCAGCTAAGTAGATCCACTTTGCACTATTTTAGCTGAGTGGTTCGAGGTTGCTCTAATTACTTCTTAGGTGAAAGAGACGATTGGATTTGACGTCCGTTAGTCACATGATCACTAATGAAGTTCTAGATTCCAGAGTTTAAGACAAAAGCGAAGTGTATATAACAAGAAAAAATAGAACACGAGAAAATTTATCACATAGATAAATTAGATACTTAAGGTGAGCACACTTGTTGCTTATATTTTATACATGTTATTCATTATCCCATTTATCTTGATTATCCTAAATATCTTATTTTCTCACTTCACGATGCCCAGTATTGCATCGAATGACATATTATCCCTGTTCCTTTATGAAGGTAGGAACAAAACTTCATCTGACGTAAAAAATGGATATTTTATTCTTGCTATGTATTTACAAATCCCAGATTTTAAAAAGTCCGAAGAAATTAAAAACAATAGGTTTGAATTGTCTATAAGGATTTCCTTCACGATTGCATCAAAAATCATTTTCTACCATGTTTTCGCCGCATCAGACAATAATCACCCCATTTCAAAGTTCCTAATCTATCTATTGCATCATTATTGACCATTCGTGCCGGCAGGTATCGGATTATTGATTTTACGCTCTGCCATAATTCCGGCGGAAGAAAGAACGCTCGTGAAAATCTTTCTGAATTTGCAGTGTCTAAAAAAGGTTTACATATCACTTCGTTCCATTGATCTGTTTGGGTTACATAACGAGGTTCGTGAATCGATGTGTCAGTATAATTCATCTCTAGATCCACGATGTAATCACATTGTTCGATGTTGACCTGTAAGAAATGCTTTGTTATTAGGGGTAAGGTCTTTATAGTCAGATAAAATAAATTTATAATGCTTACATATCTATCCATTTCTTCTTTATTAACATTGTTGAATCCTTCCGGTATCTTCCATATTCCGTCACGTTCACTGCTTAACTTTGTTTTACCTTCGGAATCAGTATAATTATTTTCTAAAAAGTATTTTGGCAATTGTCCGCTGAAATCTGACTTCAAAAATCTCAACCGAACACCATCAGGTAAAAAATAATGACTCGGAAAACGATACCATTCTTTTCCAACACAAAGATTTATTGGATTATCAAGGTTCGGTTGAATATTATGTGTCTCGATTTGTTGAGGAATTTCAACGTAATAAAAGTGGTTGTAAACTGCCATCGGTGCGTTGTAATGAAAATAAAGCGCCTCAACACGTAAAATCGAAATGAACCCAGCAACAATAAGAATACTAATTGTAAATATTTTCATGTAACTCCTTCTGGTACTCTTTAAACAAAATAAATAATTAGTTAAGTGTTCAAATTATGATGTATTTAATTCCAATAATAATTTACTCACCATATAGGGCATATTTCCATCCGACAAGAATACAAGTAGTTGATCAAACCAGCCTCTAACCAAAAACATTGCAACTGCGGCGTTTAGGCATAATAGAGGGTAGACAACAAACAAAAATCTTTCTTCTTTGTGAGGTTGTGCGAGGAAAGTAAAGAACCATAAATAAAAAGGCATCAATCGGAAAATAAGATAGAGGTAGGCATAGACAGGTCCGGTTGTTGTTGAAGATGAAATACGCCCAGAATCAACAACAGAAGTCACCAGCTAAATTACAAATTTTATTAGTTTATTTAATATTGCTACTACCCATTGCCAATGTACAATGACAAGCACACGTACCAAACCCGGCAAACTAATAAGGGCCATTATGAATAAAATGTTGAAATTCAATAGACCATTCATGACATAATAGTACCAGGGTTCGGTACCGTATAAATTAGGACCTCGGTCCTTGCCACCGAACATATTATAGGCTATAATGTTCCACGGTACAACATTAAGCTGTTTGTAATAATAATAATCTACCAGAACAAGTGGTATCTAAAAAGCAATACGATGTTTGTAAAGGAATTGAAGATATTAAAGATTACAACTAAAATAATAACCATACCAAAATTATTCCTGTAGAGATTATAGTTCCTAATAATAAACGTTTGATTCGCTCAAATTTCTTTGCTCCATTGGTTCGAAGCACCAATTCTTCTAACGCTGCAGGAATTCCGACTTCCGCACAGAATGGCCAAGCCAATAATGATCCTATACCAATCCAAAATATGGTCTTGTAGATTCTCGATCTGGATGCCGTTGAAACTGGTCTCAGAGCATAAAAGAAGGCGATCATGGTTGTGTACATCGCGAAAGTCGATGGAAGAAATGCTAGTAAAAACAAAGAACCATACTGATTAACTTTTTGATTTGACGTATGATAAAATAGATTTTGACTTGCAATTACCAGTAGATGCATTCCACATTCCTGCACTGAACAGCATTGTTACAATTAAATAACGTCCGACACGTGGCCCTAAATTGCTTACTGCTGAGACGTAAAACAATGCTTCAGATATTGCACACAATGTAGCAAACATTACGCGTATGGCGTAAAAAACTTTAATCTGTCAATTTTTTTGAGATAATATATTATGGTAAATATGCTTAAATCGAAAATCAGTTAATAATGCTCGTTGAAAGTCTCAATACTTTATCGTGACCAAATATGTAGTCAAATATGTTGCCGATAATTGAGTGCAATTTAATGTAGGCCCAACTTCTAATTGCATATTCCGGCGAATACTCCCAAGTTTGCATTCCATATCCATATTGTAAGTAGTGAGTTGGTTCCCAGTAATTAAACACCTGAAAATAGACGCCGAGAAAATTGAGAAAATACAAGATAACGTTTTCAGCATACTACATATATTCTTGAATTATTAAAATACCTCATCGCAATCTGCTATATTTGAGAAAAAAGCGGCACTTAAACGCACTATAAGGAATAAAAAAAATGCCCTTCTGCCCGAGGGAAAAAGAGAAAGACTTGTTCGACTATGAAGATTCAAAATTAATAAGTTGAATAGGAGTTAAGGTGTTTAATGAAAGTTCTGCCCGGTAACACTAAAGAAATTGTTTTCTTATTTTTCATTCGATTGATTTAAATACGCGTTAGGGTTTATAACTTGGGAAGTACCTGGCAGAAGACTTATTTGAAGCCTTTGGAGATGTGTGAGAGGAACTAGATCTTGTAGATCGAGTCTCGCTATTACCTCCCGTATTAGAACTAGATCTTGCATGACGAGATCTTAATTCAGCAGTGTGTTGTTCTCTAGACATGATTGAGAGTTGATACTATTACACTCATGCAAGTTTGAAAGAGGATTTTTTTTACAAACGGGTGACGTCATAAATACATGATCACATGAACAAATCAACTTATTTTTGTCGATGCTTCTACACCACCTTCATCATCTTTCTCCTCGGACTCAACTTCGTATCTTCCAAATTCATCATTCTCCTCTTCATCAAATACTACGGCAACTTCAAGTTCATCATTAATCTCGCCTGAAGTTCACCATCATTCATGGCATCCTCAAGATAATTTTTTCCCCAAATTCACTAATGATACCAATGGCCGTTCCGATATCTCTTTTTTTGTCAAAATCCTTGATTAAATCATTTTATAAAATTTGCAGTGTCGTCTGCTGCACTTCAAATTGTATCTTGAGCTTGATCACCGAGGTTTTAATGAACGAATGCTAAGGTCAATT